ATTGGAAAATAGTTAAAAATTTCACGCACCAGCGCATGAAAGCTGAATTCGAAACCTTGAAAGGTGGATATCTTCCCGTGATTCCCGAGTTAATAAGTTTACCCGTCAAAATTTTCAAGAGGCCGTAGGTGATACTCAAGAGCGCGGGAACGCTGAATTTGAATAGGCAAGGTCGAGCTTGGGCAGGGGGTCATTACTCTAAAATTTCAGCCTCCTAAACCCCGTGGTACCCGAGGTAATAATTTACTCGTAAAAATTTTTACTAGCCCGTAGGTGATACCCGGGAGCGCGGGAACGCTGCATTTGAATGGGCAAGGTTGAGCGAGGGCAGGGGGTCACTACCCTAAAATTTGAGCTTCCTAGAGCCCGTGGTTTCCGAGATAATACTTTACTCGTAACGGCTTTCACGGCGCCGTAAGTGTTACCCGCGGATACGGGAAGGCTGAATTTAAATTTGCCGCGTCACCCGCTGGCAGGGAGCACTATACCAAAACTTCAGCCGCCTAGCTTTTGTAGTTCTCGAGTTGAAAGTGAGGGACAAAATGTGGGACACACACATACAAACACACACAGACAACCCCGTAACAATATGCATTCTGTACTGCTGTTACACAGCACAAAACGCATAATAACAAAAGTTAGGCAAAGAAACGCAACTAACACAAGCAAAATTAGATGTGTTAACTTGCACAAGGCTTGGAACGTCAACATTCGCTGTATTTATGAAAGTTAAAGTCAGTCCTTCTCCTCTTTTACCCTTTTCTCCCTCACCTATCCTCCTTCGTACCCCATAAAATACGAAAAACGAAAGTAATTCGAAGTAGAGCAAGTGACAACAAGTGCCAACAGTAACGGCCCACTGAAAACACAGGAAATTTCCCCTTTCACAAGCTTCTTAGAAGCACGCTGAGATTAATATTTAATGGTTTAAAAAAAAGATGTAACAAAACGTAGTAATTAAAGGTGAATATAAAAACAGAACTGGAATGTTTTGGCCCATTAAGTTTCATACATTCCCATCAATGCTACAAATGCACCTCGTCAGTGTAGGGGTGTAACTTCTTGGCATGTCCCAATACCAAGTTAACATCGAAACGAATAAAAAGGAAAGGCAGAGAGATTGGTCCTCCTACTAGTATTATTAATCCAGATACTCCAAGGAACGGGGTACCTGCCACTGAGCTCGGTATGTGTGCGGAGCAATGACCAAACGCTTTCGCTGGAAAGCACTAAATTTGGAACCTTAACGTATTTCATTTTTTCAGGGAGCAAAAAGTGCTTATAAATTTGGCATTTCACAGTTAAAGTGATTAGTCACTGCTCTGCAGATACCATGTAAATCATAGCTTACCAAATCCAACGACAGGCGAAACTTCCCCTTTTTTAGTGAGAGAAAACAAAACAATTTCAAAGCGCCACTGTGTTCCCTACGATTCTACAGTAATCATCAATAAACAGCCGGAAAATCAACAAAAATAACGATTTCTTAAAGTAATAAACAGAATACGCACTCTTAATCCATTCCCCCTCCCCCCGCTTCACACCCTTAAAGCTATTCCCTCCTGTGCTGGGCCACGTGTAGCTAGTTTCCCCTACCGTTTTTGCAACATGAAAAGATTTCTGGCGCCATCTGCGCATTCGTATCCTTCCTCGGATCGCCCGAACAGGCGACACCTAAACAGTGCCCTGTCGAACAAATCTTGTTTTACCTCATGATCATGAAAATTTGCACTAAACAATTCTTGCGTTGGCCGCTTTAATTACGAAAAGTTTCTTCAAACATCCCTTGCCCCATCATCTTCGCATCACAATAAAGGTGCTTCCCCATTTTTGTCAGTGTTAAACCATTCATCTCCGATCATTTTTGGCTTCCAAGAGATCGGGTAGGTGATTTTAGTATTATTTTTTAGTGGTTTGGTGCTGTTTTCTTTGAATTTTTTATCTTTTCAGTTTTCTGGTTTTTTACTTGGTTTTATATTGTTTATTTCTGCTTTTATTAAGGGGGAGGGGGGAGCAGTATCCCTTTGGTAGCTAATGAAACTGGCTTAAAATGAGACAAATAACGCTTATCACTATTCAGCGCTGTTTCCGGCCAAAATAAACCGCTCCAGGGATGGAATATGATGCCATTCAGATTCATTTAGTGCCTTTTTTACTGTTTTTCAGCTGCATTTTGCATAGGGAATTCCAATCAAGTGATATTACTGGGATGCTTCCAGACGTCGCGTGCAACTATGCCACATTTACTTTTGCGCTATTTTACCGCTTCAGTTTCAGACTGTACTTGAATTTGTTCATAATTCAAGCAACAGTTCCGAATTTCGAACAGTTCCGTACGTCAACAACCTAGCAATTTTATCCCTTTTTGACGGCTACATTGCTGCATTTCTCAAAAAGGGCAACGCTGACATCAGAACATTATTTCTCCAAAAAACAATCAAACAAACCACAGATACAGAAGCACTTCGAAATCTTGCTTTCCCATCATCGTGGCCATAAGTTACATCTCTCGATGCACCAATGAAACCGCATGAAGTGCAGCAATTCCTACTGTTTGTTCCCTGGAATTCGAACGGTAAAAAAAGACGAAAGTTCGAGTTTTTCGAGTTTTCTTTGAACTATTTTTTTTCGAAGAGCAGCATTCATTCGAGTTTACCCCCCGCCCCCTCACCGGTCGCCATGAATCATCCTCTCAGTGTCTTCTCCCCTATCCCCACCCTTCTCGTACAAATTTGAACTTGGCATCCACTGACTCGAGAAAAAATCTGATTTTACCTCGTGACTGTTAACGTGGTAGCGCGCTTCAGTAGTGCCCGACGTTCGGAACTGATGCTCCTTGTTCATCTAAAAATTATCTCTTCACAATAATGCTCATTATGCCGCACTAATATTTGAGTCTTATGGCCTACATTTATAAGGCCGGAAGCTGATGACAAAACTGATGATCACTTACAGTCTCGGAATAAAGGCGGCGGCGACGAGTCTGTTCAAGGTCCTCGTTGTGATTATTTTCATTGTGATTCTGGTCGCAGAGGAAAGCCGTGTTCAAGCAATGTTCCTGACATTCAGCTGTACCCTAAATGAAGAAAATCGCATCGAATATAGACTTAGTTCATGAAAATTGAAATTATCTGGACACTTCTAGCACTTCTCCCCCAAACGCAACATAACTGAGACCGCCTGCAGTGCGAAAAGACAACACCGTACTATATGAATGACTGCCCCTTTGCCTCCCCTCCCTTGCCCGCCTCTCTCCCTATCCCCCATGTGATGGTGCGGTCAATACATGAGTGTAATAGTGGAGTAAAAAGATTGGAATTAGGTATCATGTATAAGAAGACATTTCACGATGAGTCAGTCTGTGTTTCATCCCTTAGCTGTATACACAGACCGAACAGTGCATGCGGGTAGGGGTGAGAATCTTCAGTAAATCCTCCTACCCGCTATGTATTGAAAAGACATGTAACTAATTTGCAAGAAGGATAAGTGAAAGAGAAGAAGAGAAAGTGTAATAGCATGAAAGTAATAAAAATGATGGAGCAGATGGAAGAGGAGGAGACGAACATATGAGACGGGTATGCAACATCATGTGCTAAGTTCCTGACTTCAATTTCAAACCCACGGGTCCAAAATAACTTTTTTTCATGGCCTTTGAGATGATCGCAAGATGTTGGCAACATTTAACCATCTTAAGCCTATCACTTTTAGACAAGAAACTGAGCAACTGTATCTATCTACTAGCGAACAAATGCATTTGCAGTGAAATTATAAAAAATCAGGTTTACAAGGAGCCCGCTTTATCCACAGCAAAATACTGAAGAAATGAAAACGACTGCTAATAAAATCTTAAGCTGCACTGAAAATAAGCACAAAATAGTCAAGTAGAAAAAGTGTGCAAGACAGCTCAGAGCTATTAAATTGCTCAAAAGGTGCAAAATTACGTCACAAAACCATACCCCGCGGTGCAGGCTTTCTTTAGAAACACGAATGGATTGTTTCGCAGCACTGTTCAAGCTTTCACTTTCACTCAATTCGTAATGTGACTGAAAATAAAGCAAATTAAATTCAAAATACAAAGACAACAGCAGTGCCCACGTTTCCCAATATGATTGTGGGTATTTTCTACTAATCGGAATCAAACGCTGCTAAAAATAATTGGCCAACGCACGGGTTGCTCGCGCGAAGATGCGTTTTTTGCACAGTTCCCCGCAGTTTTTGTTGCTACCGGCACCGGCTTTTTTGGCAAAAGCTTCTAGCTAAACAAATTAAGAGTGGCCGCCAGAACTGTCAGAAAACACCCCCTTAAAATTTCAGCTTTCTAGCTTGCCTGGCTCTTGAGTTAACAACTTACTAGAAAAAAACTTTCACCGGCCAGTGCGTGTTTACCACACATACAGTGCGTGTTTTTGGGTTTGAGCTGAATGAAACTTAGATGGACGGGGTATATCCTCTTAAAATATCCTCCCGGGAGAAATTTTGGCGGGCCCGTACGCGGGTTCCACGCTTACCCGGGAGCTGGGTTTGAGCTCATTAATACCCACTTGGACAGACTTCAGCTTTCTAGCTTCTCAAATCCCCGAGTCGTGAACTAACTGAAAAGAACTTTGGCGGGCCCGTACGCGGGTAATGGCACCCATTTTGGGGTTTAGAGCCCGTAAGTGTGTGTAGATCAAGTTCTCAAAGTTTCAGTCCTTTAGCTTTTACAGGTCTTGAGATGAAAAACCGTGACAGACGGACACACAGACACACACATAACCCCTCGTCAATGTGCGTTTTCTGCATTGCATAGGTGCAAAAAACGCATAATAAGGGGCTATGACGAAACTGCTAACCA